CTCCCTTCATCAAATTCCCAAAGTGAAAATGCCTTATCTGCCTCTCAGGCATTGACCTTCTATTCAGACCTTTGCTCAGACAAATATTCACAGGCCTGAAGATTTCTCTTTAGCTTTAGATTTTTCTTTTGACCAAAGGGGCCCCAGTTACAGCAAGGCACACACATTGCTGTCCATAATCTGACAAGCTTGTTAAAGGATGCAGGCTTCTGGGCCCCATCCTGGAGATCTGATTCTGTTCGTCTGTTTTATTTTTATTAACACACCCTCTGGGTATTTTCTGGTGTACACTCAGATCTGGGACCCTCTGCTTTTGGCTAAGAAGCCCCAGCTGCTTCCACCTCACGCGTGGCATTTCCACACCGTGCAGTCTGTGGACAGCACCTCCCCCCACTCCCAGGAGAGAAGCGTGCATTCTAGCTCACAAAGGAGACCCCTGCCAGCCCCAGAGCATCCAAGTCAGCGCACTGATGTGTTTGGAATGGGAAGCGGACGCGAGCGCAACTCAGAATCAAGCATAAACTCTTCTCTCTTCTATCAGGTAGGAGATCGCAAATGAAAATAGAAAGGCCAGAATCTTAGGAATAATCAGCGCAGGACTAAAACTTGCAGCAGATGGGTAGCAAGCGAGGGAAGATGTGGACGTTCAGGCTAACAGCGATGACACTGCTAACTCTCCCACGGGACTCTGGCCATCATTTTGTCCTTTGCAGCTCAGTTATGCCTCAAAATGAATCAAAAGTGAATCTTTCCAGCCATAAAAATAAGCCGGTTCCACACATCATGGACACCAGATAAGTCCTTTTTGAATTGAGCTCAACTGAATCAAAGCTACTATCCAAGCAGCTTTCGTGACCCTACGAAAACAAACAAAACACTACAAACCTGTTGAGAGACAAGAATTCTTTTCAAAAAACCCCAAATTTTGTAGGAATTTCATGAGATTCTGCATCGTGGAGGAGCAGGAGGGAATTAAGGAGGAAGAGGGCAAGGTCTAAGTTTGTTTCAAAGAGGGAGGAACTTCCATTCTTTAGGAAGAAGAGAGAATTGTTAGGAAACACAGCAGGGCAATGAAGGGCCATGGGCTGCTGTGAACGTCTCCTGGTCTGACTGTTTCAGGGAACTCCTTGCAAAACTAGCTGGATTCGCTCCAGATGGCCGCAGTGGTGTGGCTGTAGAAAGCAGTCAAAAATATCCCTTGGGTTTGAAGACACCAGGTCTGTATCCCCGGGAGAATGATGCAGCAGGCTGGGAGGGCCTGGAGCTGGGAGGGCCTGGGAGCTGGGGGACCGCAGAGCTGAGGGAGCAGCTGCAGCGTGGTAGAGCCCATCGTCATGGTCACTTTCACTCAGCCTTTCTCAACCCACCTCTGTAAAAGACTTAAGCTTCGGAGATACTTTCTGGGGGACTGTTTTATCAATCCTTCCCAGGATGGTACATAACTAGTGCCATGATGCACTGGAGAGAATCTGAAGGAGAGAACCCAGAAAGAAAAAAAAAGCATCCGGGAAGTGTGAATGGTGTCCCTGACTGGCTGTAGGGCAGTCACCTCGCTGCGGAGGCTGATGAAAAGAGTGGGACAGTGATCACCAGGGAGTGCAAAATGTAGGTCAAGTTCCAAGAAAGAACCTTAGCAGTGATGGGCCAAAGAGGAAGCCCGAGGCACGGGACAAAAGATTTGGTTTTCTATTTAGTACTTAACTGAGTATTTCAGCCCATGCAATACACACACACACACACACACACAGTCCCAGCCTTAAGGGGAAATTGGCCACGGGGCCAAGAGAGCAATCCCAGCCCCTACCGCCTGTCTTCCATTCTGTTCCCTAGAAAACCAACTCCGCACATAGACTGGACCTGTGGGGCCCCTGCAGGCTCTGTGTCCAGGAAACCCCGCTGAGCTCCCTGATCCAGGGAGGCTACTGTTACAGGCATAGCCAGCAAGGCACCCACTCCCGGGGAACCACCTAATGAAAGCCTCATGTGTTGACTCAGGCTGCACACACACTCCCAGGCTAATTCTAACTGGGCTTCGCGCCGAAGCTATGACCTCACTGTCGGGAAAACCAGGGACCCCAGAAAGAGAAGACTGGTGTGTGGGCCAGACCTGCTCCTAATCGTATCCGGCTGGGATGGACGGAGACAGCCACCTCTCCTGAAGCCTCTGAGGACCAGGGGTCAGGGCCTGTGGGCCGGGAGGCACAGACATCTTACAGCTAAGAGTCCGCAGTTCTGGCCCAAGCACTCCTTTTTTTTTTTTTTTTGGCATCATCCCCATAAAAATCTCTACCATTCCACAAGGTTCACGCCAAAGAGAAGTTTAATTAGGTAGGGCCAAATCTCTGTGGAGAATTCTCAGTTACAGAAGCTAGGAAGGAAGGATATAATTAGAACCTGACTTTTAAAAAAAAATAGAACAGCTCAAAAGACCCCTATTAAGAGAAAGACACTGAAAAGCACCGTCCAGAACCTGGTACCCCAGAAATTTCACTTATCAGCATCATTCACAAACCATGTAAAGACCCACATTTCAGCCTCAGACTGGGCATTTTTCACGCAGCTCTATACTCACAGGCATTTAATAAATTGTGCCGGCAATTCCTCTGCCTACACGGCAGCACTGTTTTCAGATGTTCTGTATTAAATCTTTTGTAGGCAACAGAACTTCGAGGAAGCTGTGCTTCAAAAGTAAATAAATGTGGTTTTACCTGATGTGGTCACCGTGAAATAGAAAATGACTCGGGCTTTTGTTAAAGGAACGAGGAGAAATTCTCTGCAAGATTTGCTTATAAATTCTGCCTCCAGGCACTGGTGCCTGAGTATAAGTTGCAAAAAAAAAAACCAACCTGGTGAAATATGAAGTCTCTTAAATTGCATCCCATACGGAGCGCGTTTGCCTGAGTCCTGATGAGCTCCTTGAATAACCATCGCATGAGATCCCTCGGGACTCCAAGGCCTCAAGGAATCAGGGAAGATTTGGAATAATGTAAAAATTCCTCATAAGCGGGGGAATACTGAGTGATACACAAAGAACAAGGATCGACTCTGATGAAGACACGTCAGTCTCCTAAGAGTTACTCTCTAACAATAGCTCCCGCTTGTTTTTTATTAAATGTTGCTAATTCCATTTGCTTTTTGTCCATTTGACTAGGTTTTATTATTCTCGTTGTGGGGAGAATCAAAGCACAAAACCTCAAAGAACTTATGTACTTATGTTCATAGCCCACAGACAATAGTGTGGTGAAGGCTGCTCTGGGAGAGGGGGGAGGAGGAGGGGGAAAATGGGGGACATCTGTAATGCTGTCAACAATATATATATTTTAAAGCACAAAACCCTTAGTTCCATATACAGATGTATATATTAAAATGTTTATTATTTTAAAGAGAAAACTTTTTTTTTTTGGAAATGTATCTCTGAAATAATGATGGGAGTCCATGGGAAAGCAGTTTTGTTATACGAGGGGGGAGGAGGAGGGGGAAAATGGGGGACATCTGTAATGCTGTCAACAATATATATATTTTAAAGCACAAAACCCTTAGTTCCATATACAGATGTATATATTAAAATGTTTATTATTTTAAAGAGAAAACTTTTTTTTTTTGGAAATGTATCTCTGAAATAATGATGGGAGTCCATGGGAAAGCAGTTTTGTTATACAATATGTGCTTTGCTCGAGCTTTTCAGAAATACTTCTAAAATTCAAGAAAGGTCCAGTCAAGCCTGCAAAGACAAGACAATTCACAGTCCATCAAAGCTGCAAGGCCAAGGTCATCTGCTCACACAACCGAACATCCTGCTGCAGCATCTCTGTCCTGAACTGGAAAGGGAATGTCCACGGTTGCACCTGGAGGCCAGTGCTGTGGTCCACTCACCACATGGTCACCCAGCTGTCCATCTTCCAAGTTCCACAGGATACTAGCAGAGAGCCCCCCGTTCATCCAATTAGCCTGCAGCCCAAGCAAACATCTCCCTACAATGGCCTTGGTTCCGAAAGACTTCTTGGGCCCCTCCTCTGCTTTCTTTCACTTGGTCTATACGTCATGTTCCACCAAGAGTCCCAACAGTCCACCACTATGCACCCCTTATGCCTGGAATCAAGCTGCTTTCCAGAGGGGGTAAGTATATGTATTAACAAGAAATAAGTATATAAGAAGGCGCCTCCTTGGACGTTCAGCTCAGGCAGGTATAAATGTCAGGAGGGTCACACTAGTTTGGGATAGACTTGCGGGGTTTTAGCGTGTGTGTGTGTTGGGGGGGGGGGGAACCTTAAAGATTATCTAGTGCAATGAAACTCTTTTCCCCAGTATGTAAAACAGAGAGAAAAGAAGCTGTTATAGCCACACAATAAAATACGATTTGGCCATAAAAGAGACAAAGGAAGTATTGACCCGTGCTGCAACATGGATGACCATGCGAGCATTATGTGAAGCGAAAGAAGCCGGTTACAAAGGCCCACATGCTGCACGGCTCCATTTGTGTGCAATATCCAGAAGAGGCGAATCCAGAAAGATCGAAAGCAGGTTAGTGGTTGCCTAAGGCTGAGGGGGGCTGAGGAGTTGGGGGTGATGACTAGGAAGCACAGGGCTTCTTTTTGGAGTGGTGAAATGTTATAAAATTGATTATAGCATTGGTTGTACAAATTTGTGCCACAGGTTAAATGGGTGAATTTTATGATGTGTGAATTCTATCTCAGTAAAGCTGTTTCACACACACACACACACACACACACACACACACACACACACACACACACAAAACAACCTTGTTCTCACTGTTCTGCCAGCCAGACCTCCCTCGCCCTGTTCTCTGTCATGGCCTCAGAACCAGCTCTGCAGGCGCCTAGAGCTGAATAGAATGATCTAGTCCAAGTTTCTTCCCCTCAAATGTTCACCAAGACATAAACCCACGTCTTTTGACTCCAAGTGCAGGGCCCTTTAAATCAAAAGTCTCGCTAATGAGTGGAGGCTCATCTGGGGAGAGACTGCTGGCAGGGTCTCACCGTCCATGTCCAGGCGCTGCATGATGATGGCCAGCTCCACCTCACTCGGCATGTACCCCAGAGAGCGCATGGCCATTCCCAGCTCCTGCTTGGAGATGAAGCCATTCCCATCTCGGTCCAGAACCCGAAAGGCCTCTCGGATTTCTACAAGGAGAAAGCAAAGAAAGTCCAATGGTCATGTGGCTTGGTCTAGAGCATTGCAATTATTGGTGATTGTCTACTGAAAATTCCTAACTATTTTACAAATAGTGGCATGTCAAAACCCTTTATTTCAATAAAAGAATGGCCAAAAGAGGAACCCAAAAAAAAGAAAGAAAGAGAAAATGAAAGAATAAAGGGGGTAGGAGGGAAAAAGGGACAGGAGGAGAGGGGAGGAAGGAAAAGCGCTTTGGACAGAGGAGGTAACTGGCCCTGCACATCCTAAAACACTGTAGTCGGTACACAGTTAGACAGCGGTCCCAGCAGAGAATCACGTTAACTAAGGACACCTCCTAAGCGAGAATGAAGATGAGGCTTCATCTGTGAGGAGAAAGGCTGCCTCTTAACCTTGGCCATCAGGAGGAAAGGGGAATTAGATTCCTATACAGACTTACATCCGGCTCCCTGCTGCTGCAGGAGCTGTGCAGAGAGGTTCTCAACCTCATAGTAGGATAGGAGTTAAGTATCCTGCTGTTTTTATTTCATCCTGTAATTTACAGTTGTTTTATGGCTATAAACAACTTCAGATCGATAGGAGTGTCATAAAAACCCAAAAAACATCTTTAATCACATTCGCTGGAGCTGGCAGAGAATTTGACTCTGCTATCAACAAGGCCATTTCCATCCGGCAGGGGGTCTCCCATCCTCCTACCCCAACCGGACTTGCTCTGCTTTCCACCCAGAGTCCCTCCCTCCAGAGCCCGTGTGGCGCTAGTTCTGGGTTGGCTGAGCATTTTCTAACACATCACAACCCTGTGAGGCATGACATGAATTCGAGATCACAGTCTGAAGATGAGACGTTCGTCCATCCATCGTCTCTGAGCACCAGACTTGGCCAGCTTTGAGTTTTCATCAGTAAACCCAGTGCAAACCCAGGTAGGGCAGCTGCCAACCTTCGTTCGTCATGTCACTCAACAAGTATTGGCTGACTGTACCTCAGAGAAATAACCAGCACCTGCTGGGAGTCCTGGTGCTCCTTCAGATCCCGACACTCCAGTCAGGAAGGTGAGAGCCACGCAGAAACTTGCAGGAACTCTTAAAACTATTACAGGACACTTGGCCCTAATCCATTTAGTGTCCACTTTTCTAAATATCTGATTGCTCCCAGCAGATACCTTGAACCACACCCTTTCCTACATAGGCTCTGCCCTTTCCTATTTACATTAATTTCCTGTGGCTTCTGTAACACAATTTGTTCTGATGGCTTAAAACATCAGAAATTTATCTCACTCTGAAGGCCCGAAGTCTGGAATCGGTATCTTTGGACCAAAGTCAAGGTGTGGACAGGGACCCTGGAGGCTCTAGGGGGGGATTTGTTTTTGCCTCCTTCCACCTTCCAGTGGCTGCCAGCATTCCTTGCCTTGTGGTCCCATCACTCCATTATCTGCCTCTGTGGTCACATGGCCTTTTCCTCTCCTGTCTGTGATCTTCTCTGCCTCCCTCTGATAAGGACCCTTATGTTTGCATTTAGGGGCCACCAGACAATTCAGGATAATCTCCCCATCTGGAGATCCTTAAGTTAATTACATCTGCAAAAACCCTTGTGCCAAGGCAGCAATTACAGGTTCCCGAGATGAGCACCTGATACTTCGGGGGGCTGTTTATCAGACTGCTGCACTATGCCACCCAGTTCTTTTACCTGACACACCCTGCCTTCCTCTTTACCTGCCAAATCAAATTAGTCCTTCAAGGACAAGTCAAGGACAAGCTGTGGAACCCACAAAAACATCTTTGCTCACTGCAGCCAAAGTCATCTCCCTTTCTGTCAACCATTCAGTAGGCCGTTCATTACTTTCACATAACATCTAGATGACCCATCTAGAAATAAGATGACTGGTGTAGAAACCAGGGCTTCTCCTTTAAGCTCCTCATACACTTCATTCATCTTTGTATGTTCCCACCCACACTCAGAAGGAGGCGCTAGACAGGCAGCTGTTCAATGGATGGTGGGTCTGAATAAATTAGGATCGTACTTTGGTAGCAAATCCATCATCGAGACCAATTCAGGACGCTGAATGCTTTCTGCTAAAAATGTGGGCTCCAGCAGAGACCAGACCAGCCAGCGAGTCAGGACCCTCGGCTCCTGGCCAGGTGGATTAGCTAATTAAGTTTGCAGCCAAAGCCTGAGGCCTCAGTTTGCTCATGTGTAAAATGAGCTGGTTAGCCACGAGGAACCCCAAGCCCTTCTTTCTGTAGATCGGTGGACATTGTTAAAATGTTTAAGAGAAGAACAGGAAGCTGTGTTCTCTTTCATACCCTATTAATCTGTTGTTCAAATGCTCGTTTTTCCGTTGACGATAAAGAAAAAGAAACTTTAGTCCACTCCAAATTCTGAATCAAGGTGTTTGTCTGCACTTTTAAGCTTTCTCGTCAACAAAACCTGCCCAGGATTACCAATGGGGGCCATATGTTTTCCTACCAAGTCCTTGGCGGCCTGAGAAGAGCTCAGTGCTGCTCCTCAGCTTGAGGTCATGGCACACGGTGCTCAAGGACACTGTGACAGACACCATGGCCTCGCCTGAGCCCAGATCCCAGAAACCAGGGGCAAGTGGATGCGGAGACTGAGTCCCTGAGGTGGGAGTGAGCACAGGAGGAAGCCTGTCTGGCTATGAAACAGTCTCCACTCCCATCCGTTTCCCCATCTGAAAAATAGGTTGGGCTGGGTCTCCTTCTGGCTTTTATAGCAGGGTTTTATGGGGGGTTGACTTGTACTATGCAACAGTAGGAAATGTCAGATAATGGCAAGGGCTCTACCTGGGGTCACAGAAGAGGCCAGGGTCCCAGGTGGGCCAGTTGGAGGGTCAGCTGCAGGCAGAGCCCTGCCCCGTGTCCTCTGGACCACTCCCTTCCCCAGGCGCCATCTCCACTTCCCACCCCTCAGATTCCAGCCTGCACGCTCTGGGCTGTTGCTATCACTCAGAAAGGGTGATGCCCTCCTGTTGACAGGACGGGGCCTCATTCCTGTGCTCCCCCTGCATGCGCTAGACCTTTCCAACTAATGAGCCTGTTTCCTTACACTGGACACCCCGGAGGGGCCTGGTTGCGGGTGTTGGAGAACTTGGTCTGGAAATGAAGGCCTTGGCGTGTGTGCCTGCTGATCCCCACCCAGCTCTTGGGCTACTCCCAGAGTTGCCTCACCCCAAGGCTCCCGGATTTGGTAAGGCAAACCAAAGATGGGGTCACCCCAGCACTGCCCTGCTGTGAAGGGACCTGCTCCTTCCAGGCCTCAAAACCCCGTGGTTGGTCCCATCTGTAGTGTGTAACCAGGCAGGCCCTGACCCAGCCCAGCACAGGGCAGGCAGGCACATACTGGCTCAGAGTTTTGTTTTCTGTGGCCCCCAGGTATGTGGACAAAGCCTTCCTCCACTGTTTGCATAGAATGTCTGCTCCTGGCTCCCAGGATGAAGCTCACTAACTTAATTTCTTTCAAAATATCAGAGAGTAAAAAAAAAAAAATTTAAAAAAAGTACGAAACTAGAAATCCATAATGGGCGCCTCTGGAGAGTTAGTGTAAGGGAAGCCCAGCCAAACGAGAAGCTTATTAGGAGGAAATGGGTCTTGCAGTCTGAGACATGTGATGTGTGCCTCATTTTATTTTTAATAGTGAACAGGGTGTGAGAAATATGCCCATAAAACCAGCGGAGACACTGGAGCAGGCCAGGTCCCACTGCCTCCGGCTACAGGCGGCCTGCTCGCAGCATGGAGGGGCTCTGGCCGCTTTCCCACTGGGAAGTGGGAAGCACAGATCGAGTTTTCAGAAACAACCCAGTAATGTGGTGTGCTTTCCACTGGAACACATCCCCTCTTTGGGCTAATGCCCCTGGAGCAAGTGTGCTGTGCATTTGGTTTTCAATTCAGTTTCAGGCTCACGCAACACATACACAGCAGGCACCAGCATGGCCACACTCACTCCCAAAAGGGGCGTCTGCGATGGGGATCAGAGCCTGCCCAGCAGTCGCTGTGTGAAAGGAAACATGTGAAGACACATCTTCTAAGAAAAGAAATCCATTCTCTGCACATGGACTTTCTCAGAACCAAATCCGCATTCCTACAGGGACCCGGGCTTCTCCTGCCTGGAGGGAAATGATGGTCTGGAGCCAAACAAGGCCTGTGCTGGACATGGTCCTGCTCTAGAGCCCAAGAGATTACTTCCCATTATGCCAGTAAGTCTGTTTCCTTTCTTTTCTTTTCTTTTTAAAGAATAGTTTATTGATTTTTAGAGAGGGTGGGGGGAGAGACAGAGAAACACTTATTGGCTACCTCCTGCACGCCCCCTACCAGGGATGGAACCCACAACTTGGTTATATGCTCTGACCATGAATTGAACCAGCAACCTTTGGGTGCACAGGACGATGCTCACCTATCTGAGCCACACTGGCCAGGGTGTAAGTCTATTTTCTGAAAGATATCCACACCTACCACTGGTACCATCTGTATCCTGACCCAGTGCCCTCTGAGCACCAGGCCTCGGTTCCATAATGCACCCTAGGGACATAGCCAATTGGAGCAATAACAACAGCAGGGGCACACCTAGCATACAGAACAGACTCATCAATCAGGCTGCTGAAGGGAGTGTGCAGCAGATGAAATCCAGACCTCAGCCAGAGCCAATATTCACTGGCTCGTGTCTGGCTTTGAAGACTCGGCTAAAATTCACAGCGCTAATGTGCAAACTTAGATCAGTAATGAAGAACAACCGTTTCTCATCCCCATCTCCATGACATGCAAAACCTGCTTATTCTCCACAGAAATGTATTGTTAGGAAGACTGTAGGCCTAACGCACAAAAAGAGAAGGCTCTATTCACAAGATGAATTCCACTGATGCACGTCATTGAGAAATTGCAACACTGGAGAGAGACACAGTTCAGCAAGGCGAGGCAAGGCGGTTATTAAATAACAGCACAAATGTACCAGGAACTAGAAGATACAAACTTGGAGGTCATGT